AGCCCCCCTTTAAAAGCTCCTGCCCTGATCGGCAGGGGGAAGCTGGCTTTTGGACACGTGTCTGGCTTCTTCCTAGGTAGTGGCCTCATGAATAAAAGCAAACTTTCCTTTCCTACCAACACCAGTCTCTTGAGTACTGGCTTCCTAGTGCAGAGCAGCTGAATCCGAGGTCAGCAACACCACTACGTTTGCTCCGCCTGCCAGGATCAGAAGGCCCCAGGATCTCACACAGCACAAGACGCAGGGGTGGGCCCTGCAGCCCCGTGCCCACGGGCTCTGCTGATAGAAGCCCCGGGACCCTTGAGGCCCGCACCCTCGGCTCGCTCACACGCCCAGGCAGCCCTGGTGCCGCGCGTCCAGCCTCCCCAGCGACGCCGCAGGCACATCCTCAGGCAGGTCTCTGCCAGGGGCCGGGCAGGGCCCTCACCACTCACAGGCCCCACCGACTTCTGCCCCGTTCTTGTCTTCGGGACCCCTCCCCCTTCCTCTCTCCCTCGTCCTCCAAGACTGTGGGCCTAGTCTCAGTTCACGCCAGCTTTCCACACAGGCTCCTGAAGCCAGCTACCCTCGGACAGCTCTGCTTCCCGGGCAAGAGCAACGAAGGCAGGGAAACAAGGAGAGCTCGGCTGCGTCCTCGGAACAAATGGAGGGAGAAAACCTGGTGAGGACAAACACACTGACCATTCGTAACGTCACGTAGGTGATCGCGTCAAAGCCCTGCTTAGCAGGGGGAAGGCAGGTGCTGCAGCCACCAACTCTTCTGTCCCCTGCCCCCAGGCAGGGCTGCTGGACCCTCGCAGAGGCGGCCTCCCCGAGTCTCACGCAGTCCCCAGTTTAGCAGTGGTGTCTGTGAAGCTGAACTGAGTCATCAAAGCTGGTGAGTCAGCAAGGCTGCCAAACAGAGCTCTCAGCGACTGGGCGGGGGTCCAGGCCGAGAGTCCCCACCCCAGGCTCCTCGGGGAGCCCTTTACTCCCAGCCACAGCCCCGAGGGAGGCATCACTTCCACTTTCCAGCGGAGACCAAGGACCGGGGGCGTCACCAACCCCAGCCATGACATCATGCCGCAGGGGCTCCCTGGCCCTGCCAATCGGCCTGGGCTCCTCACCGCCTTCCCGCCCGCAGCACACCTGGACAGCTACCGCTCGAAAGGCCTTGTGTGATCTGTCATTTCAGGAGAACAGTAATGCCACCCCCTTTCCACCTACTCAAAAAAAAAATTGGAACATGAGGTCCTGGGTAGATGGTTAATGTTGGACGTGTACCAACCCATCAGAGAACGGTAAATAATTCACCAATCTCTGAATTTTATTAACAACTTTTTTGGCTGCTTTGTGACTGGACTCCAGCAAGTGTGGTTAAGGTCTGGTGGGAAGGGGTGTCCCCGCGAGATGCCAAGTCAGCGTCCAGCCCCCGCCGGGCGCCCCCGCCAACAGGCAGGGACTAGCAGTGCCGTGACGCCCTTCACGGCGGCCGTCCTGCGGGGCCGCTCCTCCCCTCGTCCGGGCGCGCCCAGACTCCCGCTGCTCACCCGCACCGCTGCCGCGCCCAGACCAGCGTGCACCCCCTCCCCAAGCCGGGGACCCAGTCACCCTTCTGGTCGCATCAGGACTGTCAGAACGCTTTCTAGAACGTAAGCCTCATGTCACTTCTCTGCATAAATGCTTGTGAGGTCTCCCGCTCCCGAGAGGACCCTTTACCATCCGGCCCTCCCTTGTGCCTCCAGCTCTTTCTGGCCAAGACCCCTGTGAGCCAGTACTCTCCCAACACTCCCACCCCACTCTGGAGCTCAGAGCGCAGCTGCACTCCTTCCCGGCCCTCCTCCTCTTTTCTCCGGCAGGTCCCACCCCGCCTGACCTCCGGGCAAGGGCACGGGGAGGCAGGGCAGAGGGCTGGTGGACTAGAACCTCTCCTGCCGTGTGACCTCGGGCAGGTTAATACTCAGCACCCTCGCACCTCGATGTCATCAACTTGGAAACAAGACAGACACAACCCCCTGCTTTGTAAGGTTATTAGAGCTGACCCTCGACCACCACGGGTCTGAGCTGCGCGGGTCCACATCCACCTGCACTTTCTCAGTAGTAAATACCACAGGACTGCACCGTCACGGCTGTATCTGCAGACACGGGGGACTGAGCATTATCAGGGACCGCTCCAACACCCTTCCAAGGGTCAGCTGCAGAAGGCCTAAATGATAACCCAGGTGACACGCAGGACGTCCTAGCCCTGGCGTTTAGCAAGTGCTTCTGGAATGCCAGCCTGTCTGCCCACCACCTGCACACGCTTACCTCCCCCACCGGCCTCTGCCATCACCACCAACCACTCTGAGCCCAGAACTTACTTCCCACACGACACTCCCCACATTTACTGCCCTTCTTCTGATCCCCGAAGGGACTAGCTCCGTGGGGGAGAGGAACAAGGCTCTCCAGCACCCAGCACTGGCCTTGCTTGTAACAGAGGCTCCACATTTGCTGTGACAGGGCAAAACAGAGTAGCCAGAGACTGGCTTTGTGGTAGTCATCCACGCAAAGGCCACAGGCCGCTGGCTGGGGTGAGAAGTGCGGGCTCCTTCACTGGGCAACTCCCTAACCTTCCAGAGCAGGCTCCTGGTCTTCCTGGTCCTTCGAGCTTCTTTTCTGGACACAATTCAGGTCTTTCACCTGGTTTCCTCTTGCAGACGGGCCTCCTCCACCTGGGAGCCCAGGTTGGGCACCAGAGCGGAACAGCGCGCTGAGTCCACTGCTGGGCCCAGGAAGGCCAGATGAGCGTACACGCCGCTCTGGACGGCGTGTCTGCTGCCCCAGCCTCGTCCACGCTGGGGTTTTGCGAAGACACGCAGACAGCTCCGGCAGCCATCGTGCCCGTTACCGGCGTGCGGGCGCAGGGTGGCTGTTACTCCTCTCTCTCTCACAGACGC